TTAAGATTTTTAGTAATTGAGTTTGATAAGTGTTATATCAAAGGACAAAATTAAAAATTGTTTTTAGTAATGAACTATTATAGACAAAGTATATTAATATTTTATTACTGCCTAGTAAGATTTTTTTTCCTAGCATAATGTGTGATCACATGGGGTAGGGGTACAGCTGGTCTGTAATAACACCCACAATGCCCTCTGTGAAGAAAATTGCCAGGCAAATTGGTGCTTAAGAATATGTTTTGGGGGAATAGCAGATGACATAATTGTTACATCACTGGACTCCCACGTAGTCGACTGCAGTTTGAGTCCCGGACTTGGAAGCCTAAACACACTGGGCGCATGTGCGTGAGTGCCCAAGATCCCGAGAAGAGAATGAAGAAGAAGGGATTGCAGTGTGGCCATCTTCCCTGGGAGATGATTTCTTGCTTTCTGTTTTTCTGTCTCTCTCTGTCTCTCTGATGAACGCACACACCCTATAGCAAAAATCTCTCTGAACAAAAAGGAGAAAAAGAACATGTTTTGGAGTATGATGGTGTCAGAGGAGTAAAACGCGGTATTTTGCAAGTGTAACCTATAAGGGAAGAATCCACGTTTGCATCCAGAGACTTCCCTGAGTATGCTGAGTACAAGCATGCCCATGATGTGGGGCTGGCTGAAGCTGCTGTTAGACCCCAATAAGGTGTTGAAGGGGTGTTGTCTCTCTCTCTCTCGCTCATGAAGGACATAAATAAACTTAAAAAAAAGAAAGAATATGTTTTAGGGGAATACCAAGCACTCTCTATGGCAGAGATTTAAATGCTCACCAAATGTTCCATTAGTGGCCCTACATTTCCCAGTTGCTCTGCATTTAGGCAGCTTCATTGACTAGTAAAAGCTGTTGGGCAATTACTGAAAAGGGCATGTGCATCTCCCTTCAGGCTGAACGTAGGAAGAGTAGATGAGAGTTCTCCATGGGTTCTCTTCTTTTTAAAAAATTAAATACACACACACACACACACACACACAATATATATATATATATATACACACACACACACACACGTTTTCCTTTAAAAAACCCTATTTATTTTCTTATTTATCTTTTTATTTGTTGTGACTTTCAAGCCGTTGGGTCTAGGACTTAAACCATGGTCAGTCATGTGAGAGTCCAGCACCTTAACCACCATGCCACCTGCTAGCCCTGGGTTCTCTTCTGTGATTGATTGTAGCAGCCTTGTGTTATGATATAAACTGTAAGTCTGAAGCAGCCTGAATCCTTGAGTCAATGCATGTTGGTCTGTGGCCTTGAGGAGTCAACTAAACCTTCACTGGAATTTGTGTAAATGATAAGTAAACCTTTATTGTGTTCAAGTGCTGAGATTTTCAAGCTGTTTGTTAATGCAGTATAACTTAGTCTAGCCTGGCTAATATATTCTAGAATAAGGTTTCTGAAAGATTTCTGGTGAAGACACCTGCATTTGAGCTGTGAACTATTCCTTTCTGGGACTAAGACTACTGAAGATTTTCTGCTGAGACTTCACCCTGCGGATCCCAATCTAGAGAGTGGGAAAAAAAACAGAACTGCAGAGACTGCAGATCACCTTTTCCTGCATGCCTCTGGATGCTCAGATTGAACTTTAAGAAATTAGGAAGAAACGTATAACCTATCAGATGACCAGAAATCATAGCAGAGGCACAATATGAGAAATCAAGAAAATAACTAAGGGAAAAGAACAATTCTTCTTTATCCACAGACAGTACAATGGAACTCATGGAAATATCAGATAAAGAATATGGAATATTCATACTGACAAAGCTAACAGAGATGCAACAGAAGAGATACAATAAATAAGAAACGTATAACCTATCAGATGACCAGAAATCATAGCAGAGGCACAATATGAGAAATCAAGAAAATAACTAAGGGAAAAGAACAATTCTTCTTTATCCACAGACAGTACAATGGAACTCATGGAAATATCAGATAAAGAATATGGAATATTCATACTGACAAAGCTAACAGAGATGCAACAGAAGAGATACAATAAATTCCAGAAGATGCAGGACAAAAGAGACAATGAATTCCAGGAGGTGAGGAAGTTCTTCCACTATCTGAAAGAGGAAATACACACCATAAAAAAGACTCAAATGAAACTGTTAGAGATGAAGGCTGTAATCAGGAAATCAAAACCTCCCTTGAAAGTATTAAAAGCATATTAGATCATGCAGAAGATAGAATCTCAGATATAGAAGACAGAATCTCTGCTCTAGAAAAATTTACCACAAAGACTGAGAAAATAGCCCCCAAAATGAGACTAACATATGAGAAATACTAGATACCATTAAATGTCCAAACATCCAAATAATTGGTATCCCAGAGACTAAGGGCATTGATAATCTATTCCATGAAATCCTGGAAGAAAACTTATCAAACCTAGAGAGGCATTCAAAGATCCAGACCCAAGTAATACAAAGAACCCCAACTAGAATCAACTTAAGAAGACCTTCTCCAAAACACATTAGAGCTAGATTGTCCAAAACCACAGACAAAGACAAGATACTAATTCAAGAGAAACATCAAGTTACTTATAAAAGATATCCCATCAGGTTAACAGCAGCCCTCTTATCGGAAACAGTTTGAATAAGTAAATAATAGGAAAATATATTAAAAGTGTTAAGTGAAAAACAATTACAACCAAGAATACTGTACCTGGCAAGATTATCCTTCATATGGGAAGAAAAGATAAGGACATTCTCAGATAAAACCTGAAAGAATTTACCAACACCAGACCAGCTCTCCAAGGAGTTCTGAATGGAGTGCTATACCAGGAAAACTAAATACAGACACGCAGAAATAAGAGTTCAAAAACAACCAAGAAAATGGCCAATTTAACGGTAGGGACAAGTCCTAAGTTGAATGTTATCTTTCAGAATTTAAATGGAAAGATTGGACCACAACAGAAGAGAGAGTAATTACATGAGACTGAACTGGTGAAATAGAATTTTATGACTTTTGACTGAAACATTACTAATTTTTTTCTATGCTTTGTTTTCCAGATTTAAGTATTTTTGTCTTCTCTCAAGCTGTGGATAGGTTCATGTACCTTCTATATGAACAGAATCCTAACCTGTTTCTTTGTTTTAAGTCTTAAGCAAATTTCTCTTAGCATTTTTTGATTTTGGTTTATTAAAGCTAAAACTACTTTTCTTGAAATTAAAAAATATAAATTAAAAACATCTATTTAAAGACCGCAGTAAGCTATATAGCCTCAGCTAGGTGCTCTTTTATGGTATAATCATTCTACTTATGGAGTTTTATGCCTAAAGTCAGACATGTGTTCACAGATGTGTATATATCAACTGAACTTGCTATTGAAAGTATTTAGATTAATTAAGATATTTTGTGAATCAATAAAATGTGAGGGAAAAACAAAATGGAAAACAACCAGAGCCTGTGTGGGAGGAGGGTAGGAAAAGGCAGATGGTGAAAAATAGATAGTCAAAAAAAACAAAAAAACAAAAAAACAAAAAAAGAAAAATTAAAAAAAAATGAGAAACATAAAAGGGAAAATTATTTGTTGATGATAACATATATGATTAAATCAATATACAGTGCATTCTGGATGGAAAATCACATTTTGTATGCTGCAATGATGGTCAGTGAATGAATGTAAAGTAAATAAATTTAAAGTAAAAAAAAGATTTTTAACAACATAGCTCACAATAAGAAATGTGTTTTACATTGTGAGCTAGTACACGCACTCAGACACACACACACACACACACACACACACAGAATAAGTATTTCAGGAAACAATGCTTATCCTTAATATTCATGATCTATTCTATTATCCTCTATCCTATTTTATTCTACTTAAAAATGCCGGCATTGATTTCCTAAATTGATTTTTGTTTCTTTGTTTTGCTATAGAGCACATGTGCCTGCCAGAGAAAGAGAGAGAAAATGAGAAAGCTCCCCCCAGGAAGGATGGCCATGCCGCAATCCCTTCTCCTCCATTCTCCTCTTGGAATTTTGGGCATGCACGCACACATGCCTGGTATGTTCTTCACATCTCAGGGTCTAGGCTGTGCAGTCAGCCATGTGGAATCTAGGTGCCTTAACCTCCATGCCACCTGTTGACCCCAACTTCTTAAATTAATGTATGTTACAACATCCCACTAATGTATGGAACCTGAATTCAAAACATGTTGCTTTACATCATAATTCATGTATGATTTATATGCTCATTATGTTTTCATGTATATTTACTAAAGTAGGATTTTTAGATCTCTTTGATGACTTTTTATTATCTGCTCCTAACTTTTTATTATGGATAGAAGTGTTTTCATGTATAATATAGCACATCCCACATAATTTCTGGAAGATAATGTTTTATTGTTAAGCCTCCTAATTTACAACATATCTTTTTAAATTTACTTATAAAATTTTGTCACAGGGAGTAACAATGTTAACCTGATTAATCATTATTTGCTTATTTTCATTTTTAAAATAAATGACTATAAATAACTGTCTCTTGCATTAGGATAAGGGATATCATAAAAACATCACTAGCTAGACATATTCTAGTGTTAATACTGATGCAAAAAATGAAATAGAGACCAAATATTTATATATGGCACTATATATATTTTTATATACTGTATACTCATATCAAAACTTGCCATTTCTATTAAGAAGCCAATAAGTGACTCTCTAATTTCATAAATTATAACACCACTGTGAAAATATGGATAGCTATTTTATATTTTTGCTGCTATATAAGAGACATTCATTGTTTATACAGAGAGCTGCAAAATTACAGAGGTGACAAAATGGGAATTGATGAGCATTTTCACCTGAATTTCCACTGGCTTTTTTCATCAGCCAGAATCATCTTGATATTCTCTGAATATTCTTTTGGAGATGAACATGGTGCGTGTGTCTTCAATAAATACACATACACACATTTTAGGTATATGTGTGTATATACATCTATACAAGTGTGTGTATATATGTATATATACACACATGTATATATAGTCTACATATGTATATATATATCTCTGTGTGCACTTATACACACATGCACACATAATATCCTTTGGTTTATTTTCAGACCATTAATGTGAAATGAATTTTCAATGATTTCCATTTATTTTTTTCTTTAAATCTAAACTGGATTAAAAAGATCTTTGCAACAAGTAATAAATTTCTTTTACAAAATTATATTATTACACTTTAAAGCATGATATAGAGAAGGTCACAATATGTTAAAGAAGACAGAAAGTCATGCCAATATGGGAGAGAAGAGAAAGAAAATGGAGTTTCCAGACTTCTCCCTCTAAGTTGCCACCTCCAGGGAATGGAACCTGGCGTTCTTGTGTTGCTGGCTTTAAGCAAAAGAACTCCAGGATAAGCTATGTGCTCCCACGGAAAGGGTGAGTAGAGCCAGGAGTGGTTAAGAACAAATTGTTTCTTGGGAATGGTTGAGTTTGGGGATGAGAAGCCAAACCTTGGGTAGGAAAACAAAGTGACAAAAAGTCATGTCTATTTGGTAATGAAATGGTGTCTTTTTGGGGTTGACAGCTATAACCGTCATGGTGCATGGTAAGTGTCCTTATGGATTACGGAGCTGCCAAGATGGTAACTATGTGCTTCCTAATACAGGTCTTCTCCCTTCCAACGCTGGCATGTCCCTTCCTTGGCAGAAGAGGCTCCGTGAAGAGGGTGGCCCATGGGAAGAGGACCACTCATATCTTCAAATACACTCCTTCATCCCTCACATGCCTCTTCCAGAACAAAGGCGTTTCCCCAACTCATCAATGAACATGGGGGAGGGAGATATTTCTCTCCAACTATATCCTTTGGAAACCAAAGCTTAAGCCTATCTGTGTAAAGTTATCGAAGAACTACTCACCTCACATCAGATAAAATACTCACTTATCTTAGATGAAGAAACCTCAGTGTGATTTAGGAAAAGGAACATTTCTGGTTCAAAAACTAGTAAACTCTTCTTCATCAAACACGGTACCAAAGTTGTCTTATTATTATTATTTTTCTTTTTGGATAGCTATGTGAGTAACCCCAGAAAATTAATACTGGGATGAACACTATACAAACAGAGAAATTTGGGTTGCACTAGCACGTTTGACCTTCACTCAGAGCAGCAGCTGGTGAAAAAACGGCCAAGCTACTTAGGTTTATACTGTACTCATCACACTCGCTGAGTAGGGTGAATTAGAGTCGTGGCGGTGTTGGAGGTAAAATTTCCGATGCTCATATTTTGAAACTCCTTTTTCCCATTCAGTAACTAGGGCTCTCTATTGCCATCTTCCAAATTATGTCACTTTAATCTAAGCCCCTGACAACTCTTGCTAAATTCAAACATCTTTCCCCAAAGCAGTGACAGTATCTCTTGTACTTTAAGCGGTGCTGAGTTCACCCTTTGGCATCAGCATTGATTTTCTTGGGTGATGACCAGCTTCTCAGTTGAGATCCTGGAGAGACATTCCTGGAGTCACTGCATGGTGCTTTTCAAATGCATCCTTTTTTCATCTCAGATAGAAACACATTGAGGGGAAAGTTGTCCCAGTTTGGTTGGTGGGATCTCACTAGTTTGAATGACAGAAATAAAGAATGTGGGGTCACACGTAGGACATACATGTTGGTTAAAACATTATATTTGGGGCATAGAATAAAAAGATTGCTTCTATCATCATGAAAATAATCATTGACAGTGAGCAAAGCTTCAGATCAAGAAGACGGAATCACTTGTGTGGGCGACAGTAATTGCTAGGTGCCTGCTGGAAACGTGAAGTGAGGACAGAGGCAGAGACGGGGGAGAGAGGGAGGTGGTGGAGTGAATGTGCAACTCTAGTTCTTGCTTAGGATGCTTTTCAGGCTTCTCTCCACAGCTTCGTCCAGTTCTTCCTCCAGCTCCTCCTTCTTGGACATGGCCAACTTGGACTGGTAATCCCTCACGACCTGGTCAATGTAAGGGGCACTCTGTGTTCCATGTAGCATCAGGGTCCACTCCTTCAGCACCCCCTTCTGGGGTGCACTGCCCACAAACCCTAGCTCTAGGGTCCAGGTTCCTCGGGCATCTTCTCCCCAAGTATGGGTGGTCATGAAAGGCCACTTGTCAAAGCCCACTTTGGAGTCATCATCCCTTGGCCGCCGGCTCAGCAAAATGGACTTGGTGCCCATAGGGGAAGTCATATTGATGTTCAGGTCTCCTCTCCTGGTGGCATTGACCGTGATGACAGCTTGGACATGCTCCAGGTAGCGGACGAAATTTTCTTTCCCCTCGCATGCATCAGTGGTGAGGGTCAGCACCAGCTTGCCAGTGGATGGTATTTTCCTAAGGGCAAAGCGATGAGGAGATATGGTAAGGGACAGGTGGTGGGGGAGAATTATGTGTTCTAAATCCCTCTTGCAGGTTCAGGGAGCAGCAAGAGCAGAGTCTTAGGGTTAATCAGATAAACACCAACTATGTGAACCTGGGCAAGTTACTTATATTCCGAAACTTCCATGTGGAAGGGAAATGTAGAAGATGTTATTAAATCTCCCCCCATATCTCCTAAGTTACTTCAGGCTCTTCAGTTGGGTCCTGTGTATCCCAACTGATGTGTCTCATGTATTAGCCCTTCCCTGCTTCTCCCCTGCTTCTCATCATGGTGGGAGCTTGCTTAGCCTGTGTGCAGGGCCACCTGAAGGTGTCAGGGATTTAGCCTCTCAGGGATAACTCTTGACCAATGATTAGCTCGGGGTGGTGAATAGATATATCCTAATTTCCCATTCGTCAGTGGGACAATGCCATGCCCCCAATAGGATTGAGCTTGGTTACTCCTTGTTCGTTACTGCAATTTTTGTTGAATTTCCCGCCCCCTTCCCCTTCTCAAATTTCTGCTTCCTCACTTGTGTTTCGTGAGATCATCTCTCAAAAATCTGTCAGCACCCAAGTCCTGTCTCAGAGTTGAGTTTTGGGACAACCCATATGAAGCAAGAGCTTATACAATGCCTTTTGTTGAAAGTGTTAAGTATGATAAACAAAGGCTATTGCTAATATGATTGTTATTACTACCATTTAAAAGAGCTGAAATTGGGTTCATTATTTTTAGTGAAAAACAGTTCTCAAGAAAATTTAGAAGACTTTGGGGGTCTCTGGCCATGGAGTTGGAGCCCCATGGAGGTTAGACTAAGTATTCCCTAAGCTATCTCTTCTCACAGCTGGTCTCCTTCCTAGAGATGGTCTCCTTGGAATTGAGAAGTTCAAAGTTTCTTGCATTAGAAACATAGTAAAGAAAAGCGCATCGAGAATTGATGATATAATGGAAAGACTCAAGGCTTTGGAAATAAACCTATTTGGATTAGAATTCTGCTTCTATGCTTACTGATCATGCGAGCTTGGGTAGTCTCTGTCATTGTGGGTGGTTCTTGGGAGATTAAGTAAGACCAGATATGAAATCATGGCACATAATACCTGGTTTACGATTCCTGTCCTTCCCTGACCCATTGCTTATGTTAATATCCTCCCTTCCATTTTGGAGTATGAGATGGTGATTCCCCCCCGCCATATGGTGTGTGCACTCATCAGAGAGAGACAGAGAGAGGGAAAGTGAGAAACCTTCCCCCTCCAGGGGTCTGGCCACACTGCAATCCCTTCTTCTCATTCTCCTCTTGGGATTTTGGGCATACGCACACATGTACCCGGTGTGATTTTCAAGTTGTTGGATCCAGGACTCAAATTGTGGTTGGCCCTGTGGGAGTCTAGCTCTTTAACCACCACATCACTTGCTGGCCCTAATGGTGGATATTTTTAAACACGTATCTTACAGAGAACATCTACAAAAAGACAATGTTCACTCAGTGCTCTTGGAATCAAGGCTATAAACCTCGGTGGGCTTGTTGCAACTTCCCCTGTAGCTCATTCATAAAGGCAATCATCTCCTTGAAAATACAAGGAGGCCTTCAAAAAGTTCATGGAAAATGTATATTATGAAATTTTTTTTTTGCACAAAAATAAGCTTGTATTTGAATTAAATTTTCTACGAACTTTAAAAAGTTCTCTTGTATATTTGTGGGAGAAAGTGTGAGGGAGAGATGGAGGAAGACTGAGAGAAATACTGGAGTTTGACCATGAACTTTGGAAAGCTGAATGTCAGGTTGGAGTGGGGGCTAACTTACAAATTGGTGTTAGGAATCACAAATTTTCCTAGATTCCTTGGAAGTTGGGGTGTGTGAGGGGTCAGAGGCCAAGCGAGAGCCCCTGGGGTGTCTGGATGAATTAGTGCCATGGAGGAAACACCTACTTGCAAAATTCCCCCACCCTATGGGGCCACACGCATAAGAGCAGGGTCCACCGCTGAGAGGGGAGGCCTTTGATTAGACTCTTCTCTGAATGTTAATTGCTTGGAAGTGAAAGTGAAAGCCTGATGTGAAATCCAGAGGTGGCAAGCTTCATAGAGAAATAGCCCATTCTCCTCCTCTCACAAGGCAGGGTTTGGGGCAGGCATCAGGGCACTGGGGAAGACTAGGAATAGCATTTGCCTGGTGGTTCTTATTTACTTCTATTTTTGCTCATTTGTATTTTCTGATTTTTCCCACAATGATTGTCTATTGCTTCCATTGATGATAATATGTATGGTAATCTCTTTGACTGAACCAATGTACAGTGTATTCAGGATGGGCAAATTGATTTGGTATGCTGTCATGATACAGTGATCGAATGTAAAAAAAATGAATTAAGAAAATGAAAACAAAAGGAAAAAGAAAGGAATAAATTCATTTTTGTTTTAAAAGAGAAAGAAGGTAAGTGATCCAGAAAAGTCAATTTGTAAGAAGGTTAAAACAGGAGATACTTTACATAATAACAGGTGATTAGTGCCAGGCCTTGTCCCAGAACTTAGTCACTGCAGAGCAGGAAGCCCCACCAGGAGGTTTAGGAGCTCCTCTCTGACATTACAGTGATGATGTGCTAAAGCGGAGTGTTCAAGTCTCACGAAAGACAAATTTGGGACTTGGAGCTGGCCTGTGTCTTTATTTGATTGCATAATATTGCAAGCAAATGACCAATTGTCTTTGCCTAGAAGTGGGTGTTCCCGGGGAGCCCTGTGGAGTGTGGAATGCTGCTTATTCTGTGATCCTCAGCTGCGTGATAAAGAAACAAAGCATTGATTTGTTAGAATAACAGCAATAGTTGCGGCTGGCAGGTGGCATGGTGGTTAAGGGCACTGGACTCCCACATGGCCGACTGCAGTTCGAGTCCAAGACCTGGCAGCTTGCTTTCTTACTCCCCTCCACCCTCCAACTGTCCTTCTCTGGTCAAATAAAACTAAATATGTGAAGTTAAATAAAATAATTCTTAAAGAAAACAATAATAGCAATAGTGATAACAACAGCTACTCTTTCTCCAGTGCCTGGACTGTGTGCTGTGGCAGCCATGGAAAACACTCAGCAAGGTTTTCTCATCCCCACGTCACAGACCACAGACGAAGCTGGGCATTAACTCGGCAGGAAGACAGGGCAGCTCAGAAGTGCTGGCTTACGCTCACACAGCTGGTACATGGCCGAGCACTTTCCTCACTCTCCTATGCTACTTCTGGTGTCCGTTCCAAACTTTAACATTTATTTCCGAATTCACTTAAAATTTAAAGTTAGGTCACATGTTTTGTGCCACCCTCTGGGAGCCGAGGGAGCAGTTCTCTTGGGGTGCGTGGAAGGGCTGCTGAGCAGTATACTTCGTGCTAGCTGATGGGCATCCAGGCTTGCTCTGCTCATTTCGCAGGGCTGCTGCAGCTCATCACAGCCTATCGTATTTTTCCCTTTGATTTCAGTTGAGCGCCCTTCAGCGACTCCCTTGATAAAGTCCCTTTAGAAAATTGCTTTTCAAATTGACTCCTTCTCTGGGAAGATTAATGCTGACGAAACCCACAAACCTGACAATTGCCACTCACTCCACTTCAGAAACTGTTTCTGTGCAGCCCTGAACACGGTGGAAAGTGGTAGTTGCCAAGGCTGTTGACTCTCTAGCCTGAGAAGAGGGTTTCACTGTCATTAGGGCTTCCTCTCCCGGTGGTACAGCAAGCCCTGGGGTTGCCCTCCCAGCCTACCTGTCCAACTCCTGAGCCATCCAACAAGTGGATCTGTCCTAGACCTAACTCACCTGCATTTGAGAACAAGTTTGGCTATGAGATGCCCAGGAGACCAGAGGGCACTGAGGAGAGTCAGATCTTCCAGCCAGTGAGGGCCTATTTCTCGTCTGCCTGACTGGGATGCTGGTTGTATTGTTACCATTTAGACATTTACCTTGTGCCCAGGTGATGCTGGCAATATATTTTCACTCTATTATTCATTCAATATCATGTGTCTAGTAAGTGGCTAAAATTATTCTAGGCATTGTCCATACCAGTAGACAAGACAGATAGGATCTCTGTTCTTCGGGAGGCCCAGCTGAGTTAGTGATGAAATGGAGTTTCAATTTCTTTTCAGTGAAAACAATGCTTCTGATTTTAGATAAAGTTCCTAGCTAGTTGTGAAATGCTGAGATGATTATACTCTAGCTCAAATCTCTTAAATGATGCACTTGGACAACTGTATTTCTAGTGTTCTCTCTAGCTCCAAATTCCACATATATATGGAACATGACAGAATGGTAGCATATTCAGAAATGAGAGGATAAATCACTATTCATCTCAGCAAATGTCTTCCTCTCTTTGTTCTTTCTCTCTCCCACCCTCTCTCACAAACAGGCATGCTGGAGGATTAGGAGAGTCTGTCTTGCTTGTCCAGCGAACTCTCAGAAAACAAGGTCAGATATCAACATGTACCTCAACTAAGAGCCCCAATGTATTTTAAGCTGTTTCCCTAAATATGGCAATGGTGCTATCTTTTAGTGACTGTAGCTGATGTGAAAATAAATGTAGATATTGTTCCAATTCCACTGCCTGTGAGTGACATTTTGGGTTAATTAATTTGAATTAAGTCCAATGCAACCTTTAGTTCCTCAATCACACTTGTCCTATTTTTAGCTCTCAATAGTCACAAGCTATTGCACTGGACACTGCAGCTATAGAACATTTTCACCAGTGCAGAAAGTCTCTCAGTCCTTCTTTCTCGAGAAATTATTATGAACTCTAACAAGGGAAGCAGAGTCACCAATGCCCATCTAATGTGGACTCTGGGTAAAGTTAGTTATGGTGAGTAGAGTTTGGCCTTAAATCGTTCACTTGGACAGGAATTCCCAGTCTAGTCTCTTTGTTCAGTCACTCCCAAAGGACGTTGTAGATAGACCCCAGGAGTGACAGCACCTCCAGAATGGCAGATATGGAGTTTGGGGTAGAGGACCACCTACTAGGTGGATGTTTCATAGGTCTCAAGGGGGTGTTCATTGGGAAAAGCCCTCCAGGTCTCTCTCACTTCCTCTAGCATACAATCACAGATACTTGAGACCCCACCATGAGAGTAGGTTCTGGAGTCAGAGTATGTTGGCACAAATCCTGGTTTGGTGGCTCAGTAGCTGGGTGTGTCTTTAACATTTCCCAGCCTCTTTTCATCTGTGGTGACACTACTGAGTTTACAGTAGGGCTTAATGCAGTGCCTGAGTTATAGAAGGAGCTGATCCAGGTCAAAGCTGTGTAATGAAAGAACCTGGGGTATAGTTTCTCTGGGCCTTGCAAGCCTTGGTCTGGTCTTTGTGAGCTTGATCCTACATTTCTTATTATGTGCATCTCAGCCTCCTCACCTGTAATGTAATAATGATAGGCCATACCTCCTGGGCTTAAAAGGATAAAATACAGTGTATGTAAAAGGCCAGTATATATCAGGCACATAGTAGGCACTTCTTCCTGAGATACAGCTTGGGACCAGCTGGTTGTTAATGCTGTTATTATGCATCACCCTGACAGTGTGAGGGTAAGGGACAGTTTCAGCAAGGGGTGGCGAGGCAGCTATGTGTATGTAAAGGAAACAACCATAGTAGGCGCTCATGAAAGTTGGTTCCTTCCTTCACTTACACTCACAGCCTCTGCCGCCTTGATCAAGTCAATCAACTTGTTTGGGTTGCAGTGAAGTCTGTCTGATCAAGAGGTCTATATACAAAGATGAATAGAAATGATGTATAGACACACTAGTTTTGGGAAAACTGTTAGAAACTGTGGAGTGGCTGTTTTTTAATTAAAAGACACTTATAACACTGCTTGGAGTGTGTGCAGTTTTGTGTTTTTATATTATCAGAGGGTTTGGGCTGAAGCCTTACTTATCTATGTGGTGCTGATTAGAGTGATACTCTGTAAGAGGAATGGAGAGGAAGGAAGACTCTGAGAGGAGTCGGACTCTGGTCAAACTCTGTGATCAACAGAAATAATGGCAGGGAAGAGGGTGGTTGGAAAGGGTTAGGAGAAGGATTTTGTCATCATTTAAATGACCTAAGCCACAAAAGTATCTTCTTGCAATGGCATACTATGCAGCAATGTGGGTGAATGGGCTGTTTATTACTACTCAAGATAATGTGGATGTCTCTTACAAAGCTAATGCTGAGTAAGAGAAACTGCACACAAAGGCTTCCATACCATGTGATTCTAGTTAGATAAAGTTCAAGAGCTGGTAAAGCTAATCTGTGGTAAGAAGAATAAAACAAAGCTTGTCCACTGTGTGTGTAGACTAACAGGGAATCTTTCGGGGTTGATGGGATGTTCCATGTCTTGATTGGGTGGTAGACACCTAGGTACATACATTGATTAAGACTCAAATATTAGCAGTCTTCAGAAAGTTCATGGAAAATGAACATTATGAAAAACTCTGCATGCATTTCAATTTTTTTTGTACCCAAATAAACTCATACTTTAATTCCACATAAATGAAGTTTTTGAAGCCCCCATAGTACACTTAAGTTTTGTGCATTTCACAATTTCTAAAGAGTGTCTCAAAATAATGATAAGAATTTCTTTCTCCATGTTACTGATGGACCATTAAGGATAAAGAACAATTAAACACAAATGTATCCTTGTTGTCCAATCCTCTTGTCATCACAGGGAAGTTGGAAAGGTAATAGGTTCACTTTAGAAGCCCCCCCCTTTTTTTTTTGGCCAGAGGGCATGTGCATTAATCAGAGTGACAGAGAGTCAGAGAGAGAGGGAGAGAGAGAAAGCACCCCTCAAATGAAGCATTGTCGCACTGCAATCCCTTCTCTATCATTTTTCCATCTTATTCAGATTTTGGGTATGTACACACATGTGTTCACATTTTTCAACATGCTTCTGGGGAGAGGATTCAAACTGCATAGTTGTCCAAGTGGAATACAACTCCCTTCACTGTTAAGCCATGGGGCTGGCCCCATACAATGCTTTATGTGCTGATGTGGGGAACTCCTTGCTCCAATTCCTCCAAACGGTAACCCTCCTCACTCAGAATAAAATCAAGACCTTATATCATCCCATAAGTAGAGTGAACAAGTAAATCGTGTTATACTCACATACTGGAACACTTTTCAGCAATCAGAATAAACTAGAGGTATACACTAAATTTCACAAATGTAAGTCTAAGCAAAAGAATCTTGGTATCAAAGAATACAGCCTATGATTCCATTTATACTAAGTATAGAATAAGCAAAATAATCCACGGCATTAGAAGGAAGAGCAGTAGAACCTGTGGTGGCACAGGAGTAGAATGTAATGCTCTTTGAGACAACCCCACACAGGGAGGTCCATGGTTCAGGTCCAGCACCCTCCCTGAATACACAGGGCACACGTGCAAGATGCAGAGCAGGCCCAAGGCTGGGAGTGGATCGTGGTAACAGGAGCCTGTTGTGGGGGCTTTCCATTTCTTTTTCTCTTTCTCATAGTAAAAATAAATAAATAAACTTAGAAGTATAAGGATAGTGTTATCCTTGGGGAGATGATGCTGGAAGGGGACACAGGGAGACCCTTCTGAAATATTAGTTGCTTTCCGTTTAGTGATCTGGGTGCTGGTTACACTGGGTGATTGTGCACTTAATAATGGCATAAGCCACTGACACAGCGAGGGCTCATACCTAAAAGGAGGGGTTCTGAGTTATTCAATCGTGTTCTATGTAAAAACCTCCCCCTGGAGCTGTACAACTGCTTGAAAACCAGTTGTCCCTGAATCAAATCCAGTACATGCCCCTGACATGGAGAGTGAATCTGCTATTGTCACCAATGCCTTGGCGCCATCTCTGGGGCCTTTTCCACACGCATCAGAAGACCCACTGCTCCCACTTACTCAGGGTCCTGCACAGAGCCGCCCACACAGTGGAATCTCTCGGGCACGGTTTTCCAGTCTTTAGCCATCTTCACCATGGCACCTGCATCAAGAACCCCGTAGCCAAAGAGGTGGTTGAACTCCAGGCCGACCCCGTTCCGCCGCCACTGATGGACCTCGTCGTGGAGCTGGTTCCGCTTGGAGGTGAGCACAGTCAGATGCTGCATGTCCCGCCAGGTCAGAGCCAGGCTGGATACCGGAAAGCAGAGAGCATGAGAGCAAGGAGAGGCAGGGAGAGAGGAGAGGCACAATGACTGAGATTAATAGCACCTGGGATATAGACCTCTTGTGAGATTCTGGAGTATCTGCAAGCCTCCAATTCAAGGGAGGGTGTCCACGAATGATTCAGAGACACTACATATGTCAATTTAAGATAAAAATTTCTTACTTTCAGAACTGGCATGGTACTTAAGGGTGCCGGACTCCCACATGGTCAACAGTGGTTTGAGTCCTGAACCTGGTGGCTTGCTTTCTCACTTTGCCTCTTTGGTTTAATTAAATAATAATAATAAGTAAAATAATTAATTATTATTTTTTTTTTTGCTTTCTCTTTCTGTGCAGATAGTGCCCCTGCAAGCATAGGAATGTTCCCAAACCCACAGGACTTTCTTTTTATTTTTGGAGAGGTCTTCGCTATAGGGCACGTGTGCTTGCCAGACAGACAGAGAGAGATATAGAGACAGAAAGCAAGAAATCACCCCCCAGGGGGGAGGGTCACGCCGCAATCCCTTCTCCTCCATTCTCCTCTCAGGATCTTGGGCATGCACGCACATGCACCCGGTGTGGGTTTTAAGCCACTGGGTCCGGGACGTGAACCGCAGTCAACTATGTGGGAGTCCAGCGACATAGCCATTACGCTAACTGCTGTTTCTCCCAAACCCACAGGACTTTCTGTAAGAAGTGTGACAAGCAACAAAGTAACACAGGACAAAAGGGCAAAAATTATCTGTGTTGGGGCCGGCAGGTGGCATGGTGATTAAGGGCGTTGGACTCCCACATGGTCAACTGCGGTTCGAGTCCTGGACCTGGTGGCTTGCTTTCTCACTTTCTCGCTCTCTCTCTGTCCCTCTCTGGTCAAATTAAAATAAATAAATAAAGTTAAATAAAGTAATTCTTTAAAAAAATTATCTGTGTACTCAGGGAATGCAGCATTATGACAGGAAACAGAGTGGCCAGAGTAGACAGACTAAGCTCATTTTCTAGATAAAGGCTGAAACTACAAAGAAGATTGTGCTGAGGCTTGAATATCTTGAATCCAACTGCAGATCTAAGAGAATACTGGTTATTCAGAGATAAAATGTAAATTTTAATAAATAAATAAATAAAATCCATTAAAGAGAGAGAGAGAGAGAGAGAGAGAGAGAAGCTTTTGAACTGGGAGGAGAGAAGAAGAGAAAGGGTCAAGTGATCCAGTTCTAGGCTTCATCTTTTGTTTTACTATGAAGATGATAAAATCTTGGGGTGAATGTTTATCTCATTTGATTATAGTCAGTCTTTTTGTGAGGGAATAATCAATAAAATTCCCCTTGCAGAGAAATTTGATTCATGGTTAAAAAAAATCTTGCCTTTCTTAAATTTATTTCAAAAGAGCGTTCTAATATATACTGGGATTACTTACATGGAAATGACTTATAACACCAAACATTAACAAAGATGTGGAACAACTAGAACTCGTGTACTTTGCTGGTGGGTGCGTAAATTATTGCAATCACTTTGTAAAACGATTTGGCCACATCTTCATATTTTTTATTTTATTTTTCACCACAGAGTGCACATGCTTGCAGGAGAGACAGAGAGAGAAAGGGAGAAATCACCCTCTAGGAGGGATGGCTACACCACAGTATCTTCTCTTCCATTGTCTTCTTGGGATTTTGGACACACAAGCACCCGTGTCCATTGTGAATCTCAAGCCTCTGGGTCTGGGTCTTGAACCACAGTTGGCCATATGGGATTCCAGTGCCTTAACCACTACGCCACCTGCTGTCCCCATATATTTCCTATATGCCTAAGCTATGGCCCAGAAATTCCATGTCTTATTTCTGAAGATAAATCAGTGCATAGCTTATACCCCAATATCATTGAGTTTATGACATTGTTTGGCCAGCCATTTGCATGTGTCTGAAAAGTCTAACTGTGTCTCTCTTAGTTCTCACTCCTGAAACATTTCAGGAAGGAGAGAATACATTATGCTATAAGAAAAGTATTTCATTAGCCGTCTTTAAGATTTTTTTAAATGCCAGAGAGTGACTGATAAACAGAAAGGAAGACAGGGAGAAAGCACCCTTAATAGGGCATGCTTATGTTCAAAATCCCCTGTCTTATATTTTTTCATCCTGTTGGAATTTTGGGCACCCACACATACGCTCCCAATGTATTTTTCAAGCCACTAGTGCCAGGATTCAAATTGTCATCTGCCATGTGGGATCCAGCTCTCTTAACCTACAGGGCTGGCCCAACTTTTTTTTTTTTTTTTCATATTCACGATAGAGCATGTGTGCGTGTGTGTGTGTGTGTGTGTGTGTGTGTGTGTGTGTATGTGAGAGAGAGAGAGAGAGAGAGAAAGAGAGAGAAAGAGAAGGGAGCACCCACTAAGGCCATAATCCTCTTTCTCCAGTCATCCAGCACATCAGACTTTGGGCACTTGTGCTTGTGCCTGGCATGTTTTAGGCTGACCTGAGATCAGACCTCTTTTTTTTATTTATTATAGAGAGATTTTTGCTATAGGATGCATGCATTTGCTGGAGAGACAGAGGGACAGAAAGTGAGAACTCGCCCCCTAGGGGGATGGCCACGCTGCAATCCACGCACACAGCTCCTGGACCAGGGACTTAACCCAGAATCGACTATGTGGGAGTCCAGCGATGTAACTATTAAGCCATCTGCTGGTGTCAGCATTTAGTTTCAACACATGCAATATGGCTCATCTAACCCAAACCTTTTGACAGGGTGTCAAACTCCCCTCTGACTGGCTGCTGAATAATGTCCAGCCCCCAGGACGTCCCTCCTGGAGGTCTCCCTCTTTGGCTCCCATCCAGATAGGCTATTGCTTTGACTGCTACATAACTGTCACCCGAGGCTTCCCTGCACCACTCTCCTGCTGAGATTCCTGTTTCCTAGATCTTCCTCCTTTTGTCTTATTTTGGGGAAGCACATCAAGTAATGGCTTCCAGTGAAAGGATTAATAGGAGAGAAACTTTTTTGAGATTCTGCATATTTATGTGTCCCCCTTTTTTTTTTTTAAAGTTTTTCTATCACATTCGTTTTAAATTAATTTCAAAAAGTTCATCTTTAGTTTTCAATGGCTCCATTTTGATATCATCTTTTTTTAAAAAAATTATTTTATTTAACTTTATTTATGTATTTATATTTGATCAGAGAGGAACAGAGACAGAGAGAGAGAGAGTGAGAGAGAGAGAGAGAGAGAAAGTGAGAAAGCAAGCAGCCAGGTCCAGGACTCAAACCACAGTCAGCCACGTGGGAGTCCTATGCCTTATCCGTCACGCCACCTACTGGCCCCTTACCATCTCGCTCTTATTTCCTGGATGCAATAGATTCTCTTGTTTCTCTGAAGAGTATAGGCTATTTGTAAATGGTTTCTCATGCTCCTTTAATTGTCTATCTTTTCTCTTAGTCAGATGAGGAGGCAGGTCCTGTGCTACTAGCTCCCAGCCACACCCACCCTCTACCTAAGGCCTCTCACTTTGGACAGTTCCCTGGGATCTTGCGCACACAGGCATGCGCACACGCCCGGCATGAGTTTAAGCCGGCGGGTCCAGGACTCGAACTGCGGTCGACTACATGGTAGTCCAGTGACATAGCCATTATGCTAACTGCTGATCCCAAGATCTGACTTCTCTGAGCAGTCCATTACCACAGTACAATAGAACTGGTGCCAGATTTAAACTGTAATCTTATCACAGCAGCTTGAGAATCACAGGTGATAGTTATTGAGTTAAAAAAAAAAGTACATTTACAGAGTATCTGCAGTATAAAGGTCACACTGTGTTAGAAGCTGTAAGACAAGTAATGTTTTATGTAATAGCTGGGAAAACAAGACACAGGTATGTGGAAAGGTATTGCACAGTGAAGTGATTTCGTGAACATTTGTGGAGTGTCTGCCAAATCTAGGCATTGTGCTAATTCTGGGCATGTCACAAGGAAGTGCCTGCCTTCACAGAGCCTGCAGCCTAAGGGCACAGATGGACAACTCAGCGTTGAAAATGTGAGGACTGCCATGATGGGGGATGCCGGGCTGCTGAGGGAGCCATAGCAGAGGTCCTGAGTTACCCCAGCCAGAGATTCTTACTGCGGTTCTCAAGCCCTCACGTCAGAACTGCTTGGACATTAGTGACAAATGTAGTTTCCCAGCCTTCCTGAATCAGCATCTTGGAGGTTGTGAGCTTGAGAATCTGACCTTAAGACAACTCCCCAGATGATTTTTCTTTACACTGATATTTGAAAACATTGGTTTAAGGCAGTGGTTCTCAATGTACATTTTTAATTATCCGGGAGGAGGTGGGGAGCAGTGGTTACGTTGCAATCCCTTCTCCTCTCCTCTCCTCTTGAGATTTTGGGTATACATTCACATGTTTCTGGTGTGTTTTTCAAGCTGCCATGTCCAGGACTTGAACCTTGCTGTTGGCCATGTGGGATACAGCTATGTCAACCACCACTCCACTTGGCAGGCCCAGCAAAATCTCTTAGGAAGTTGTTAACCATCAACCTGACTTCCCACAGAATAAAGTAGCTCCTACTGTTTATGAGGATTTTTCCCTTATCATTCTCTCCAGAGTATGTCTATTTATGATATCCAGTCCCTCTGGATCCAATTAACATTTTCCTCCTAATTATCAAGGCAGCAAAGGGAATTTAAGGAGAGTACATGCATCTTTAAAGGAATTGGAAATTAAAATGTGTTAAAGATGTGTTTTAAGGTTGGAGGCATGAATTCTGCTAACATCTGGTAAATTGTAGAAGCCAATAGAATATTTTTAACCTATGTCTAGTTATTAGACTGAGAAAAGACCACAGCGTTGGAACCCAAACACATCAGGCATGTATGAATGCATGGACAAAATCTCAAGAGGAGAATGGAGGAGAAGTGAGTGCAGCATAGCCATCTACCTGGGGTCTGCTCTCTCTCTCTCTCTCTTCGGTGAATGCATACACCCTATAACAAATTTAAAAAG